TACACTAAAGGCATGGAGAAAATCACACAGTCTGTCACTGCTACAGACCCTGAATATGAGGATTATATAACTTATAAAGGAACAGACAATAAAACTATTCACACAAGAGCCATGGGTAAAATTAAACGCACTGTCACTGTTAAAGACCCAGAAAGGAAAAGTCACAAGATTTTTCAACGGACAGAAAACAGAACTATTCGCACGAGAGCCATGGATACAATTACACAAACTGTCACTGTTAAAGACACTGACAGGAAAAGTCACCAGATTTCTCAGCGGACAGAAAACAGAACTATTCGCACGAGAGCCATGGATAAAATTACACAAACTGTCGCTGTTAAAGACCCATGAAGGAAAAGTCACAAGATTTCTCAGCGGACAGAAAACAGAACTATTCGCACGAGAGCCATGGATAAAATTACACAAACTGTCGCTGTTAAAGACCATGAAAGGAAAAGTCACAAGATTTCTCAGCGGACAGAAAACAGAACTATTCGCACGAGAGCCATGGATAAAATTACACAAACTGTAGCTGTTAAAGACCATGAAAGGAAAAGTCACAAGATTTCTCAGCGGACAGAAAACAGAACTATTCGCACGAGAGCCATGGTTAAAATTACACAAACTGTCGCTGTTAAAGACCATGAAAGGAAAAGTCACAAGATTTCTCAGCGGACAGAAAACAGAACTATTCGCACAAGAGCCATGGATAAAATTACACAAACTGTCGCTGTTAAAGACCATGAAAGGAAAAGTCACAAGATTTCTCAGCGGACAGAAAACAGAACTATTCGCACAAGAGCCATGGATAAAATTACACAAACTGTCGCTGTTAAAGACCATGAAAGGAAAAGTCACAAGATTTCTCAGCGGACAGAAAACAGAACTATTCGCACGAGAGCCATGGTTAAAATTACACAAACTGTCGCTGTTAAAGACCATGAAAGGAAAAGTCACAAGATTTCTCAGCGGACAGAAAACAGAACTATTCGCACAAGAGCCATGGATAAAATTACACAAACTGTCGCTGTTAAAGACCATGAAAGGAAAAGTCACAAGATTTCTCAGCGGACAGAAAACAGAACTATTCACACAAGAGCCATGGATACAATTACACAAACTGTCACTTTTGAAGACCCTGACAGGAAAAATCAACATATTTATGAAGTGACAGAAAATAGAACTATTGGCACGAGAGCCATGGATAAAACTACACACACTGGCGGAACTAAAGGTGCTGAGAAGAAAAATGTCTCAGTTTAAAATAGCAAGGAAAATGGAACCAAATCAGATGAATGTCACGAAAGAACAAGGACACCCATAGATGTGAGTGGATACACTACAGACTCTGCGGTTTAGAGTACTGAAACATCCAGCATGCAGCCCAGACTTGGTACCATCAGACTTTGTTTGGTCCATTGAATTGCAGGGTCAGAGATTTGCAAATGACAATGAGGTGATGTCGTTGGTGCAGACTTGTGGCCACACCCAAAAATGATTCTGTCTGGCAGGCATCCAGAATCTTGTGAATCGGTCTTGCACGGCAGGGAGACTGTCAAATAGGCCACTGAACAATTTCATTCCGACCAATTGTAAAAAAAAAAGTATTATTGTCTTTACTTAATTACTTCCCCTTGTATTATTAGGTATTACATATTTATGTACGTTGTGTATAATCCTCTTGTGGTTCTGGGGCCCCAGTGTGGGGAAAACAAGAATAGATCCTCTGCCACCCCAAATAGTATGCACTAAGAATCAATTCTTGGGATAGAGTGCATCTGCCTGAGAGGCAAGGAACCCACAATCTGCATATAAATAAGTTAGATTTGTAAAACAGATGTACACACAACACTCAGGTTTAAGAACAAGACTATAGACGGATGAACAACCAGAACTTTCTGCCAGAGTTTACAGCCAGTGAATATCAAGAAGTATTTTTTTTTTTTAGTATCCAGAAGCTATGAGTTGTTAACCCTTAGGCTCAGTATTATGGATATCGCAACCTTTCAGCCTCGATTCCATTGTAAATACCATAAATCTGGGAGAAATGTGGCTTTTTAGCCTATCCCCGGGCGTGAACCCGGACCACAAGGAGTTCGTCACCCAGTCACCGCGCAGTCCGGTTTAGCCAGCTACGCTAGAGAGCCGGGCAAGTATTTGTATAAGAAAGATGAAACCTTACAGAACACCGTCACTGCTTGTATAACCATTAGTAACAAACCGGCCTGGAGCAGCAATATGTAGCATCACAAACTGAAAAGAATTGCCTGCAAACTCTTCACTAGCAAGGGCAACAGCTTGAAATCAACTCCAGGAATGAGTGAAGGAGGGGAAAATTGCCTTTATTCAGAGCCCATGAAGAGGTGAGAATATTTACTGAAGTGGCTTAATTAAAACTGGGAAGATGCAAACCCAGCATAATCATTGCAAAACTCTCCTGTGTGTGCATTTACCTTCATATTCGTCCCAGTGCATACAGTCTTTGTTGGTAATGAAAAAGCTGATAGACTGGCAGGTGCTGCATTAATTGAAGATAGTCGGCCCATGGATCACCCAGACATTGTCATTGCCCTTGGAGAGAGAGAACGTTATCAGGATTTTGAAAGCAATATATCCACATCACTGCTAAGAACACAAGAATTGGGAGTAAAGATCGGCACAGAAGGCATAAGAAGCACACAAAGTCTTGTTAACCAACATGGACTGGCACTATTAACCACGCAATGCTGATGAATATGTTGAAATGGAAGTCTGAGCGCCTATGGATGTGTCCGGAGTGCAGTGAAGATAATCTAACTCATAACTAAAACCCACTATTTCCAGTTCAGTGTGTGTGCTGCTTAGTCAGCATTATACAGCGACATACTAAGGTAAAAATGTCATTGGTTGTTTTTGTGACTGTGCAGCATTTAGGTAGGGACAGAAATATATTTACTTTTAAATGTATTCAAGGGTTTTCCTTGTGAACCAAATGTTTTTTTTTAAAAAAGCCAAGTTGATGTTGAATCATATTTACTGTAAGCCACAGAGATAGAGATCAAGGGGTCATAGTATAGATCACCAATACTACGTTTTTTTTAAGGCTTCCAGAAGATATTCCATGTAATGCTTAACTGTTGTTTATTTTCTTATCCCCTTATTTTGATAAAAAACATTTAAAAAGCATATAGATACATTTTTTAAAAATTGTATTAATGACCTTGCAACATGTTTTCTTAGAGGCATTTTTTGCATTCCAAGGGTAACGGGCAAGATTAAGCTAACAGATTAAAAAACCAAAATGCAGCCACTTTATTAGCACACTTCATAGAGTTGGTTTGTGAATCTGATGTTTTCTAGTCACTGTTTATACTGAATGTCTTACTGCGTTGATAAAGACATTGGTTGAAACATTCAGATGTTTTTGTGTGTCTTTTCCATTCTTCTGTTGCGCTAGTCAGTCACACTCCGGTTTGTGTCATATTTAGTACTTCAGTATAAAAGCCATGTTGTCTTTTAGAAACAGAAAAAATAAAGATTTCGCCTTGTGTTGTATTTCATGTTTAAACACAGAACCAACCACACAAGTTTAAGTAAAGACAACATGAAACCTAGACTCATGACATAGCGTAGTGGCTAGCCTAAAGATCTTGGGTTCAAACCTGCACCAAGCCATATAAAAAAAAACTAACATAGCTCCCAGGTTGACCCAGTTCAATGGTAGCGGTGAATATCCTGTGGCATTGACCACATCATCAACCGAGTGCTGACTGGATTATAACATTTAAGCACTGGCATAAAATAATCCTTGATTTTTTTTTTTACATGGATGATGTTGAACTGACGTGGGGATTTTGTCTGTTGGGGGAAAAATAAAATCCATACCTGCATAGTCCATGACAACAGCCCTAGCCAGGTGGTCCTAATTCCTCAGGCTCAATGCACCCCCACTCCCCCCATGTGAGTGGTAAATGCAGAGGGTAATGGTAGTTTAATGTTAGTTATACTTTTTGTGAATTTTTTTTCTGAAACTTGTTTATTTCATGTAAATGCTTATATCTGAATTTTGTTATAACAGATGGCAAAAAAACAAACAGCAGTAATATCTATGGCCTAACATTTCTTGTTCATGTGTGTTTATGTGTATAACTGGAAAACTATTGAAACAATCCATTCTAGTCAAGTTCACATTTATGCCAATTATCAAATATAACAAACAAATATAACAAACAAAAAGCTTTCTGACACTTTTTTAATGTTTATTTTCTTACAATAACCGTACCGTACCAAGTTTTTCTGCTAAAACAAACCCTGCAATCAAGAACTTTTATCTGTTCCTTGTAATGATCTAATTTGTGATTTAGGATTGTTGTCATACTTGTGGAAAAATACTTTAATCGCAGGTTCAGTTGTATCAGCTTTTACACTTCTTTGCTGAACTTTCCAATCTTGCTCTTCGTTTTAGTACTTCACATCTTGAAGAGCCAAATGAGTATCTGAAAGTCAGGTTGCTAATTCATCATTTTTTTTTGTGCATTACCACATAAACAGTCAATTTTCCACTGAACATTAATTTACTGTTTTGGAGATCTTTCAGCGTTTCCATCATCATTACCATGTGCCAGACAAACAAGCATGCACAAACGGCATGTCCCTCCATAAATATAAACATCTGTTCTCAGTGTCTTGATAAGTTTGAATGTTGATCATATTCCATGTTTTTTCGTCGGTGTTTAATTCTATGCTACACAAACTGTTTAGTGTAAGTTAACAAAAATTGTGGCGTACAAGTTGACTTTTAAGCTTAAACTTATTTCCAAAACTAGAGGTCGACTTAAATAGCAGGTATAAAATGCATTAAGTCGTGTACAGGCTTAGTTTTTAGAATTCTGAAGTTAAAATCTTGAGGTTGACTTGTACACCAAATCAACGTTACAATGCAATTTACAGTAACTGTAGCACAATGTTTATGTAATTATTTATCAGCAGTGTCTAACAATCTGGCAATAAAAACTGTGCTATCACACAAATAATCGGATGGTACTGTCGGCGCCACTGGAGAAAACCCACGGCTGTGTGGGGTGGAATTTGCAGTCCAGCACTGACAGATGATCTGTTGTCTTGTGCCCTCGCAGAACTTTGACTGTCACAATTAGCGGGTTCAACAGTTGGTCGCTGGAGGGGAAAGAAAAAAACCACCATGTACTACATACAAATGGAACACACATTTAAAAAAGTAATAATAAATAAAGATGAGCAAAGCAAGCTCTAGAACCTGTACAAACATATGGCTGGTTAATACAAGCCTGAATAGCAGCTGGCCAAATAGTCAGAATACTGGGCTCTAGGTTCAAATTCTCAAAAAATCCTAACATGCAGTCTGTGGTGACAGCACTAGCAGGCAGCCCTAAATCCTCTTTTGGCAGTGGCAAGTGTGACTGCCATGCAGTCAGTGCAACATGCTTTAAACTCACGGTTCTGAACTCGTTCCGCCACCTAGTGAGAATGATTCCAACACAACATGAAAATGCAAATGCCAAGGGGCACTGGGAGATTGAAGGAATCACTGACGGCCTCAGACTGCACAATATCTATACCCAGCAACTGAGCCGGCCCTGGCTCGGCTGCCTATCGTCCGTGAAACTGACACATCCTTGCACAAAGTTGATTTTTTTTTTTTAATGATCCCTGCACAGAGTTTAGATCTTTTGTGTGGTCTTTCTAATGCATTGCCACAGTTGGTCTTTACTTGTCCTTGATTTCTTGCTCAATCTTTTGTGTGGTCTTTCTAATGCACTGTTACAGTTGGTCTGCCTAACTATAGCACAGTAACAGATTATCATCTGGAAAAGTGTCAACAAAAATGTATTTCCAGTCAGTGAAAATCCTGCTAACATTCTTCTATAAGCCCTTACCTGTAGACCTTGCCGTGACTGATAATGACGGATCCATCATCCGAGGCTGAGGCAAACAAGGGGTAGTGTTTATGGAAAGTCACCTGACGGAGAGCTTTTTTGTGGTATCTGTTGACAGAAAGAGCAGGTTCCATAATTAAATGATCATGCCAAATAGTGAATCGCTTCACAAAACAGCCAAGTTTTCTGTCTTACACTCAAACACAGTTTGTACAAATACATAACAATTGATTTATTTCAATGAGAGCAACAGTAACAAAAAAACTTGAATAACTGCTTAGGTAAAGCTAATAAAAGCTGAAAATTATAATCAATTGTGAGAAAGAGTATCAGACTTGGATTTAATCAAAGAATATAAGAGAAAACCAACACCAGTTAAATGTTTGAGAAAGGCTGCAAATAAAACAAAAACAAAAATCGCTGTGTGAGGAAAAAAGAGATTATAAAAATCTATTGGAACAAAGCCCATTGTTAAATTCACTAAGAAACAAATCCTTATTCTTAGAGTTCAATGGCTGTAAAATAAATGGAATGCATACCCACAGGCCGAAACAACTGGGTGACTGAAACTTGGCCCTCCCACATTTTTAGCTATGCAACCCATCAGGCTAAAGGGTGAGCTGTGATATCAAAATGGCTGAAAATTATATATTTTTGTTATCCACAACAAAACTCCCTCTAAATGCCGTCTTTAGTAAATATAATAGCTGGGCCTCCTAAACAATGCACAGGCAAAAACAGAACCAATGCCATTATCAATGCTTGTTGAGGACTGATCAATGCAACGTCTCTTCCAGTGATGGGTAATGGACAGCAATGCTGGATTGTCTGTGACTTGGGACATAAGGGTTATTGTATGGAATGAACAAAGAAAAATGCAGCTGAATGAAATGTACAAAACAGCTAAATGTTTTTATCATCAATGCATAAGTTGTTAGGGAAGCCCAAAAGCCAACCACCAAAGCATGCAATTTTTTTGTTGAAAAAATACAACTTACTTGAGTGTTTGATATGGTTTTGTAGACAAGTCTGTATCGAACCAACATAATCGACTATCATAGCTGCCAATGATGATGTTGTCCCCTAAAATAACACAAGTGATACAAGTTAAGTACAACATTCTCACATAACAACATCAGTAACATCAACAGGTTCAGTGAAGCATGTCCCAGCCACATTATATTTGCCCTCTGTTGCTAAATGTCATGATTTCTATTTGTCAAAGGTGTCAAAAAAACACTACTAAACCTTTCATTTAGAGCAATGCAACTTCTTAAGAACCACACCTCTTCTACAGAACCACTAAAACTACCTGCATGAAGACAAGGCTGACTGATATCTACACACGGCTGCTCTTACCTCCAGGGTGTATGTCGATGGAAGAGATGTACTTGCAGTTGGCCTGTAACTTCTTAAACAACTCCTGCTTCACCAGGTTGTACACTCTCACATGTTGCTGGGTCTGGTGACAGATACACATAAAATACAAGTCAGTGAAATGTTTCAGTGTTCTGGAGTACAACACAAGCCTGTCAGGTGTGAAAAGAATGTTGTCAATAAATACTCCCCATGTAGTCTCCAGGGCAACAACAAACAAACAGATACACTGCCTCCCTCCCTTTTTCCCAACCCACAAACATACAGTAAAAGTCGACAAATTTGAGGCGTTTCCTTCTAAGACAGAGTGTATCTGCCTAGAGACGTGGAACCAACAGTCTGCTCACAAAAAAGCCAGATATGTAAACTAGATATGCATTCAAAATTCAAGATCTGAAACAAAAACTGAAGTCCAAAAGTGGATGAAAACCAGAACTCTCTGAGGGAGTTTAAAGCTGGAGAAAGAACATAAGGAAGAAGAAGATTTATATATATATATAAAAAAAAAAAAAACAGGTGTGCAAATGTTTTGTCATAAAACACAAAGTCTGTAATGTGTTTTTTTGTCATAAAACACAAAGTCTGTAATGTGTTTAACATCTTTAGACATGAAAGACAAAGTCAGTGAAATGTATAAATGTTTTGACATAAAACAAAGTCAGTGTGATGTTTAAAAAAAGCATTTTCACATGAGACGTCAGTCAGCAAAGTTTTGAACAGTTTGACATTAAACACACAAATCATGTTTTTTTGGCATTAGACCAAAAACTGATTTTTAAAATCCTGTACAGGCTACAGAATTGACTGCCTGACACTTCTTTTTATCTGAAAAGGCTCAATCTCTCTCTGCGATGCTGGCTGCCAGCTGAAAACAGCACATAAAAGATGAGTTCTTGAGCTCTCCAAAACATCTGCATTTTTGGATCCACATGGCTCTCTGCGTGGTTTCCAGGGCCCCCTTTTAGGAAAAGAAGCCATGTTGTAAGAGGGGACAAATGAGAGATTTTTCTTCCCCGAAGTCAGACCGCTCAGTCTCAGCAGCAAGGAACCAACGGTTTGAATACAGGTAGTTCTGATCTGTGAAATGCATGTTCCCACAAAATTCAGGCTCTGGAACAAGACAGTAATGGATGAATAACCAAAACAGAGTTTAGGCATTTCAGGTGATACCAGCACTGGTACACATTAAAACAGTGGTTTCCAAGCTTTTTCAGGTGATACCAGCACTAGTACAATTAAAACAGTGGTTTCCAAGCTTTTTCAGGTGATACCAGCACTAGTACAATTAAAACAGTGGTTTCCAAGCTTTTTCAGGTGATACCAGCACTAGTACAATTAAAACAGTGGTTTCTAAGCTTTTTCAGGTGATACCAGCACTAGTACAATTAAAACAGTGGTTTCTAAGCTTTTTCAGGCGATACCAGCATGAGTACACATTAAAACAGTGGTTTTTATTCTTTTTTTAGGTGCCCCCCCCCACCCCCCCCCCCGAACTTAAAAAAAATGTGATCAAAAGAGGACATAAAGAACAATCAGAAGCTTATTAAGAACCTGGAGAAAAACATCCAAACAAATCCGTGTCAAATAATACAAACAATCACAATGTGCTGTTTCCCTTAACATATAATTAAATGCAAGTTTGTTTTATAAATACATTTACCAAATATTTTATTTATGATTAAACTGAAGAAAATGTTATTTCAATGAATTAACACGACTACAAATGATCTAAACTTCAACACTTCTTGAAACTTACTCCCGCCCCAAGGGAAGACCACAGCACTAAAACAAGTTACTTACCGCAACAAAGAAGTAAGGATGAATCGGTCACAAGTTGAACAAGACCACAGCACTAAAACAAGTTACTTACCGCAATCAGAAGATTAAGAACCTGGAGGATGAATCGGATGGAACATCAGAATGTTGTTTTCTTTACAAGACCACAGCACTAAAACAAGTTACCGCAACAAAGAAGTAAGGATGAATCGGATGGAACATCACAAGTTGAACATGACCACAGCACTAAAACAAGTTACTTACCGCAACAAAGAAGTAAGGATGAATCGGATGGAACATCACAAGTTGAACAAGACCTTTTGGTTTGGAAAATGGAGCCTGAAAAAAAAAGAAAAAAAAACAATAGCAGAGATTCTTTGTATTAAACATTTTCACCCAAAGATTTAACAAATAAAACACTTATTAAAAAAAATATTTTACTCTTTACGTCAGGGCCATGCCCGAACTATAAAACTACAATGGAACAATTACATGTGGCAATCTATGGTATATTGAATGACATCAATAATATTGTTTTTACTGAAAAAACAGGTGACATAAACAATTTCATACTTAAAACTCACTTAACATAACACAAGACAGTTAGCAGTACAGCTACATTTGCATTATTACACAAATCAAATGCCTCCAAATCGTTAGCAGCTGACCCAGTATGTTAGGATTGTGAAACATATTCTGTAGTCATATTTAATTTAAAAGTAAAAACAATTCCAGGACAGTTGCGAATGTGTGCATCCGTGCATGCCTCAAGTAAGGATTTACCAACAGTTTGGGTTATATCAGGGATCATGGCAACAGCCAGGGTGGGGCTTTAAAAAAACTGGGACGTAGTTAATGTCCTATGATGAGGCGAGTACATGAGACAGAAGTGGAGAAACATTACCAAGACTATTTTTAAAAAAAACCATTTAAATTCGATTCAACCGCAAACGTTATTTATTGCCTTAGTAAACTCTTTGTTTATGCAACAAATTGAAAAAAACACACACACACAAAAAACAGCAAAAATCAAAATCATACCTGCGTCTTTCTTTTGGACAGCTGGTGAATTAGAACAGCTTGACTTTTGCTGTCACGTTGGACTGTGGCAAAGTAATCTCCCTTAGCATGCCAAGTTATTTGTGCCACATTCTGAAACACAGTAAAGAGAATGTTTAACTCCCTGAACCACCTAGAATGTGTTTACAACATACAAACTAACAGCTAGAGTATTTATGAAAAAATCTGGAAAAAAATTTAATTAGCTGTACTAGGATTACAACCTTGTGCCAGCAACAGACTAGACAAATGTCATCAATTTTGCAGAACAACATGTAACAATTGACACAGAAACAGTACTATTTAATAGTTTTTTTTAAAATCAAAACGTGTGTTCCAGTGCCAAATGTAGACATGAGCAACAAAAAAGTCAACTGTAACAAGAGCAATGAAATGTCTATGGTGAATCCTATATGTAATTAGAAGAGACATGATCGGAAATTATGATGTCAGGAAACTCGCTGGAATTGAACCGGTATAAACTACATCGGTAGACAACAGGTCAGATGGTACAGACCTGTGTCAAGACTACCACCAAATAGTGCACCTCAGAGACAAACGCAAAACAAAACAAAAATAGAACATATTTAGCATATACCAAGATCACATCCCATGCGTCTTTAAAACTGCACGAAGAAAGGTCAAAAGAGAACAGAAAGAGCAAATGACATCAGTGCCTGGTTACAGGAAGTATACTTCAGCACATGGCCAACAAGACACCCTTCACGACCTGCCAGGTTGTCATTCAGCAGAACACACAGCTATGATGGACATAATCCATTTGCAGATGTTCAACTAGTTCCATCAGAAATTTTATTTTAACCAAACATGGCCTATGGGAATACCTGCAATGAGACATTCATTATCCTGTTGTGCCATCATATGTCACATGGGGCTCCTAGTCCATTCCTCAATTCCGTACCATCCTCTGCTATCAGTTCAAATCACGGATGAGAATCCAGTCCAACAGTTTTGGCTCCTCTCTTCAACGATTGCCTGGCCTCCTCAATCCCTTAATTTTCTCTTGTGACGCTCGTTTGGTGATTGTCTGCTGGTTTCTTCTCAGGGTGTGTCCAATGTGGCACCATCTTCTCTGTCTCACAACTGTTGACATTAGTGGTTACCCAGACATTTCTCTTATTTCTTCACGCCTTTTAGAATTCATCTCATTTGATTTTTTTAGACATTTGTTTTCGAATGCATTTAATTTTTATTCCATGTCTTTAGTAGATTCTCCAACTTTCACATGTTAAAATTGAACAAATAATTTAAAAAAAAAAATTAAGTCCATTATTTATAAGTTTAAAAAAAAAGGAGAAAAAAAAAAAAACAATGACATATCCATTGATATCTAACCTTAGGGTGAGCAATTTTAATCCTGAATCCATTAAGTTGATCCGTGAAATCATCATAACCTGACCAGTCCACAGATGACTTCTGACCTATTAGGGCAGCAAGTGAAACAATAACACGTCAATGTTTATCTATTTAGACAGAAGCAGTTCCTGTGTGGGTTCCAGAGTCTGTCTGGGGAGGGCAACAGACAGGACTGGATTGGCATCGTCCCGCCTTTCCACACAACAGTGTTATACTGCAATATGAGGAGTCTTCCACAATTACAGCATGGGATTACAGGAACTAGTGTAAACATTTGTGTTTAGTCTGTTTCTTCTCAGACGCTCAGCTCTCATCCTTTCTGCAATCAGCAACACACAGACAACAGAAATGTCTACAAAGAGCGAAAATAGTTTGCCTTGCTCTCATCTCGTGTTCAGGCTGATAAGCACAAGCTGTCATGTTTCGCCATCTCATCAGAATCACAGATCAGGTCAGTGCACTTGTCTGGCTGCATCCATATGATCAGGCTATCCGGGTATTTATCTCCTTGACTTCCGCTCCGTTGGTTCTCAGTCAGTCTTGATAGCTGCCACTAAGTTCTCGAGTCCATACCTTCTCATAACATATTCAAACCAAACGTTTCATTTCTCTGATCAGTTTATAGTTGTCTTCTGTTTCAAGAGGACTGCCTCATCACTTTTTTAAAAAAAAATCAATACATATTAATCTTTATATTCTTCTCCAAAACCATATCTGCTGCAAGCGTGTTTGTTCAGATTCTCAGCAAAGTGGTACATAAAAAAAAAAAAATATTATTTGTATACTCCACAAAAAAAATGAAAAAAATCTCAATGGTTTTAATAAATGTCTACCAACAAAACAGGAAACAGCAAGCTGTTTGCTGCAAACTTCTCACCAGAACTGTCGCCACTGTCCTCAAAATTGTTGAGTGTGTTGTCGACATTTGTGCACACCAGTTTGTCGCCAAGGCCCGGGTTTATGATGATCACATTTTTGCCCCTGAAACATCAAACAAAACATCAAATAAACACTTGTACATTGTTTGTTTTAGTTTTTAGAAGCCATGAGTTGTTAACCCTTAGGCTCGGTATTATGGATATAGCAACCTTTCCGCCTTGATTCCATTGTAAATACCGTAAATCTGGGATAAATGTGGCTTTTCTGCCTTCCCCCGGGAGTGAACCCAGACCACAAGGAGTTCATCACCCGGTCACCGCGCAATCCGGTTTAGCAACGCTAGAGAGCCGGGCACACTTGTACATAAATCTGTCTTTAATAAGAGCCATGCTGACAGCACACAGCCACTGGTAGGCTCTGCCACCTGAAACTAAACACAAAGTAACTGTGTAAAGTCAAGGACCCTGATCTACATCTTCAGACATACTGAGCACATACGGCTAGACCCACACTGTATAGACCAATCAGCTGGGGATGTGCTTAACATAATGCCGGCCACCTTTACTTCCCAGAACTTCACTTGGTACCAACTTAAGACTGGGTTGACCCAGGAACCAAGGTCATTTCTGAAAAAAAAAATTTGATTTTTTCAGACTCAAACCCAGTCTTTGCATCTGCAGGAAATCATCTAGCCGCTACACAACGGCAACTTCCACATAAAGAAACACTTGTACAAATATCTGTCTTAAAGAGCTTCTTCTTCTTCTTCTGATCACCCTCTGATTTAAGAGAGACAAGTTCTTGTGATAAAATCTAAAAGAGCTAAGTTCTCAGTATTTGGCTCTTGGGGTCTCCCAGGAGGGTCTCCATGGTGATGTGATCAAGCTGTTCACCATACACCTTTAGGGTCATGGGTTTGTTTCATGGGCAGGTCATTCATTTTAAAAGTGCAGTGTTAGTTACGGAAATTCTTGAGGATTGTTAGTGAAACTAGATGTTTATGCTTTGTGGGGCTGTCACAGCAGGTGGCTAGGTGCTTAATAAAGACCGAGCTAAATAGGATACATCCGGTGCAATAAAGTCGACCATCTTGGCTTTAACAGTCTGTCATGTCAGGCAGGCAAGGGAGGGCACCCAGACTACATGACAGATAGGAGCGCACTATGTAGGCGACCCGTGATCCCAGAAGTTCATCGACTACAAGTTGAGAAACATTGCATCAGACCATCAGATGAACTGTCCTGTTCATTACTGCCTAACCAATGACATAATTGTTTTCATAACCTCAATATAAGATCAAAAACATTTCTTACACAACTGCAGCAATAACATTGCAGGAAGGATTCTGGTTCCAAGCTACATAGGTGACTTTACCGCCCATGCTCAAGGTCTTCATACAGCGACCGGTGGCAACCTCCCAGAGTTTCATGGTTTCATCATCTGAGCCTAGACGAAACAGTACAAAGGTCAAAACATGAAAATAGTCAACAGGCAAGTTGTAACCAAACTACCGCAAGTGGACTGTCAATAGAGTCAGGAACTGATAATCAATATTGTTTCAGCGAGAGCAGCAGGCAATAAACTTCTTAAAAATATTTATGGTGCACAAGCTGATCAGTAGCGGCAGATTGAGGCGCATACTACTTCGTTCGTGTGCACACACTTCATGTGACCAGATTTATCAATCAATCGAACTGATTTTAACAGAAGTCACCGTGGCGGAGCAGCTAGATGCTCGCAGTGGGCAAGAAGGTCGTGGGTTCGCTCCCTGGTGGAGCCGGACTTAAGTGCAGTCCCGGGAAGTAAAGGTGGCCGGTGTGATGCTGACCACATAATCCATCTTGTGCTAATTGGTCTATAAAATATAGATCTAGCCCTATAAGCATAAAGGCATGGAAAAGGGTAATTTACTTTACTTCACCTGATTTGTAAAAGAATACTTCCTTCTGTAATCATCTTGGGGGAGGGGAGCTGGCATGTTGTGTTGTGGTTTACAGTTAGACTCAAGACATACGATTTCAGCAAATCCTGAATTGAAATGCCTTTTACAAGATGTTTGTGAGGGGGCAGTTGATCTATTCCTCCTTCACACCCCCCCCCCCCCCCCCCCCCCCCCCGGTCCCAGAACTCGCATGAAAACTACAGAGGTCAAGTTTGTCCCATAAAACATGTTGCTGAGTTGTCTTTCAGTGCCAATGAAGGATCTGCGGACTGCTTCCTTGTGAATTCTAAATTGCGCGGCCTGTGATGAGTGGGAAGTTCAATATACAGATGTGAGGTTAAGCAGTCATGTGCAGGAAAAAAGCCCAGAACCAGAGCGTACTGTGCCAGCTCTGCATTTATGGAAGACTCCTTGGATGGTGGAGAATGCCCATGATCTGTACATGCCATCCCATGAGGGCTGACGAGTTGGTGAGTGGCTGCCCTGGACAGGTACTCTAGGAGCAACACATGTAGATAAAGAGGACAGCAGATAAAGATGGCTGTGTCATGCCAGGAAACCAACGGGGAAGGCTAACCTGGTGGGAAAAAATACCCGATAAAGTAGGATGTGTCAGCGAAAAGGCAAAAATATCGCAGCTATGTTGTAAACAAGCACAACACAAACATTAGTTATCTGGCAAACAATGAAGAAGAATACGGACCGCCGTCTTGACAAGCAAATATACTAATTACTACATCATGCAGCTTCTTGGTGGAATTAACCTATATGGTGACCACAGTGGGTCTCCAACATGCTCTGTCTTCAGCTCTGGGTGTACTCTCTCTCTCTCTCACTGCTGTTTGTCTATCTCTTCATCATGTTATTCTGCCACATGTATCGCTGACTATCTCTTGCTCGAGCCTTCATGTTATTCTGCCACATGCATCGCTGACTATCTCTTCTTACTATCTCTTGCTCGAGCCTTCATGTTTTCTTTCCAGTAGGGTATATTTAAGAGTTTTATTTATGTCTCTCAATATGGCCAACAAAATTTCACAGATCTCATTTTTTATTTCCTTCCTCTCTTCTCATTCCTAGTCTACAGAATCTCCCTTAGCATAAAAAGATACTTGATAATTCAATTATAATTATTTTGGCCCCAGTAAGTTTAGCGCTATAGGCCCAAGGGGTAGTAGACAGACAGATCGGCACATCTTGGGTTCACTGCGCTTTTATGTAGGAACCTCTGAATGTATGACAGGCTCCATGGCACTGGAAGGGTTAAAAAGATACTGCCATTCAGCTTAATGTAACGAAAATGTAACAAAATATTCAACAATAACAAAGGTTTTTTTTAAATACATAAGTTACTACCTGATGCGAGCCACTGGCCTGTAGGATCTGGAGAAATGCTTCGAACCATGCCAGCGTGGCCTTTGTAAATCTGCCATTGGAAAATGTGTCACATTATCTGGACTTATTTAATACAGAATCACATTTCATACAGCAACACACAGAAAAACTTCAGCAACACACAGAAAAACTTCAGCAACACACAGAAAAACTTCAGCAACACACGGAAAAACTTCAGCAACACACAGAAAAACTTCAACAACACACAGAAAAACTTCAGCAACACACGGAAAAACTTCAGCAAACACACAGAAAAACTTCAGCAACACACAGAAAAACTTCAACAACACACAGAAAAACTTCAACAACACACACAAAAACTTCAAAACACACACAAAAACTTCAGCAACATACAATTTACTATCTCTCACAATCAGCAGAGTTTTAAATCAGGTCTGCGATCTTGTCCTGTCCAAGTCATCAAGGTATCCATCTCTTTCTCTTCATCCATGAAATCTTCCGGTCGTCACCAGGTGTTCAAGTTTATGTCTCCTCATGGTGTGTCCAAATAATTAATATTCACTATCTTCTTTTTAGCATTCACCAGCTTTGTACTCCCCAGAAAGTCCTGGTTGTTCATCCCCACTTCTGGACTTTAGTCTTGTTTCAGAACTTTTACATGCACATCTATTTTACAGATCTGACTTACTTGACACTTGTACCACGATCGTTGGTTCCTCTGTGCTCAGGCAGGTGTGTTCTGACTCCATTTGAAAAATCCCCAATTAGTCGCTTACAAGATCCTATTTAATTATCATAACGACATGCCTGTTAGGGACAATGAGTCGTTTCTTTTCCTCCAAAAAAATGGGGCCCTTCGTTATCTGTGTCTAATAATTTTGTTTGTAGGTGAATGATTTTACTCCCACACGTCTGTGTCTGTACTTGGCTAGTTTCTTCACAACTGCTGGACGTATAGTTTTGTCAGAAACTATGTTGCAACATTTATTGGTATTTTTCTTCTAAAGTGGGAAATGAAATATGAGATGTATACAGGGTTAAGTAGATAAAAACTATACTTAATCTTACCATGCCCTCTCTTGTGGGATATGGCATCAAGTCTTTCTTGTCTGGTCGTTTTGGTATCAAATCTTCAGGATTAACATTCATCTGTAACACAAAAATAAGCCAGTAAAACTTTAAATTGTATCAGATTTTCCTGCAACACAAAAATAAGCCAGTAAAACTTTAAATTGTATCAGATTTTTCTGAGATTTTCCTGCACACAAGAATAAGCCAGTATAACTTTAAAATGTGTAAGATTTTCCAGGAAGACTTCAGAAAGCTAGTGACACTTACAGAGGAAACTATAAGTGAAACTGTTACAATAAAAAATAAATTTATTCCAGAATATTTGCTGAAAATGGGAAATGCACTTTCTACTATAAAAAAAAGGAACTTATGGCACATATAACTTTCCTATCATCTAAATCTCTGTGTAGAAGTTTGAGTTGCATGTTCTCTTCTAAATTATGTGGATATTGAAACATGTTCTATTCTAAATACAAACATTTAAAGTTGCCATCTGTACAGAGGAAGCTAATCAGAGAGATTATTGGGTGCGGATAATATCTGCAGCTGTCAACCTCAAAGGTTTGGAATGCTGAAGAGGAAGTTCTAAATTGTGTTGATACTTAGGCTACATCAAGAAAAACAGGCAAATAAACAGTAACTTTTCTTGGGAGCTGAAATATTTTGGTCATGTCAAGCGCCATGGCGAATTAGAAAAAATAATAACTGAAGGCATGGTACTGGGAAGGAGGGGGCAGACCAACACAAAGATGGGCACAGGATATAAGTGACTTCTTAAATATGAAAGTACATGAGGCAGGAGAGCTGGTCAGAGACGAGTTTCTTTCAGGAAGACCGTAATAAGAGCAACGTTCTGCAAAGGACCTGCTACATGATGATTGGGGTTACAAGTTCTGGCTGAACTGTGCGACTGTCAATCAATATCCACGGAACCTACCTTCATCTTCCTCTGCCTGGAGGCCAGGTACAAGTCCAGCAGTCTGGAAAACCTCTCGTTGATAAATGTGGCAAACTTGGGCACAGATCTATAGTTGGAAAACTTCTGAGGCTTGAAGTTCATTCTTCTCTCCTCTGGTTCCTGTGCATCCCATTTAGCTTCCTGTAGCAACAGTAATCAGCATCAGAAACAACTTTAGCTAATAGTGCTGTCAAACTGTGTACTGTCAGTTTATTGTTTGTGGAGGATAATATATTTTTGTTTGTGGAGGGAAATATATTATTGTTTGTAGAGGGGAATATATTATTGTTTGTGGAGGGAAATATATTATTGTTTGTGGAGGGAAATATATTATTGTTTGTGGAGGGGAATATATTAATGTTTGTGGAGGGGAATATATTATTGTTTGTGGAGGGGAATATATTATTGTTTGTGGAGGGAAATATATTATTGTTTGTGGAGGAAAATATTTCTGTTTGTGAAGGGGAATATATTATTGTTTGTGGAGGGGAATATATTATTGTGAAGGGGAATATATTCAGGTGAAGGTTGCATATTTTGCAACATCTACATGTAAACTGCAGAGCTTCCATTGTTGAAGAGAATTTGTGCTCCATTTATTTTGTCATTCATGATCTTGGTAATGTGAAGGTGACTAGTTCAGCTTGTCATCTGGATTGATATTTGTGAAGATAACATATGCTACACAGTACTTGAGTAGAAAGTTTTATGCCTGCCTATTTCCATCTTCTACACGGGACCCCAAAGGACAGCATCCATGTCACACAATCCTTGAAATACTAATTCAGCTGAGGGAGAGGTGAGCAGAAAGATACTCGACATTTAGGTTTGCAAAAATATTGGGGGGGAAAGGGCTCAGTTTTGACCAGATTGCAACTGATACTATTATCGTGAAGGTTTTGTTGTCAACTAAGACAGGAGATGCAGCCCCTGTGGGAATATTCTGAGGCAGGGATGTCAGTTCTTGATTCATTTGTTCATATGCTAGAAAGTTTTTATGTGCTGGTTTAATGGGTATATTCGGTGCAGTTTTCCAGGTGTGTTGTTGCAAGTGCCAGCCGCCGAAGACCCCAATGGCGATGTTTTGTCTCTGAAAACCAATGTCCTGTCTGCAATTGACAAAGCTGATGAATTCTTCTTCTTCTTCATGTTCACCAGCTGAAAACTCAGGTGAAAGGTTCTGAAATACTCAGACATGCACACCTTTTCACTGATTTGGCTTCTTTGTAAACTGTCGGTTCCTCATGAATCAGACAGATAACTTCTATTTCAGAGGCGACAACTTATTAGTCTCCCGTAATGATACGCTTGTGTGTGTGTGTGTGTAGACAGCGGGTCAAACTTTCCCCTCCCAAATAGGGCCCCAGAGCCCACACAGGGAGGGCAATTCTACTATAAAAATTTCAACGATTTAACTTCATAACAAGACAAGAGTGCTAATGAATCAATGTTACCTCCTCCTTGTCAAACAAGTATTCCTCTGGCGGGTTGAAAGACTCAGCATGGCCAGGTAAAGGTTCCTTGGGTGCTGGGATGTGCATCCTGTACCTCTTTGTACTCTCTGGCTAAAATCAGAATATGTTTTTAAATTAATTACTTCATCCCTGGAAGATACTGCAGCACATATTCAAGATGGACAATCAGCAGAACTGTATTACTTTCAAAACAATAATTCTCTTTTCTTTCTTCATCCTTGAAAGAGAGGTTGGCATGTGGTTTACAACCAAGCTGTGATATCTGCCCCTTTTGACCCAACAAATCCGATTTCAGTCAATATTTTACAACATGTCTGTTAGGAGAGAGCAAGTCTATTTTTGTGTACCCTCCCAAATGGGGCCCTGGAACCCACACTGAGACAAAAAGGCAACATATAGACAACAGACTCTTTTGTATACTTACACATTTAGCCAGATTTCTTTAGTAACTTCAGACCAAATTCAGAAAGTGTAACAACACACGGAAAAAAATCACATATTTGGTACTTGGGACAGGGTTTAATTACTATACCATAAACCAGTGTATTACTAGGAAAGAATCAGCATTTAGCAGGTCCTTGACAGAATGACGAGAGCATTTCAGACCGAAATAAAGAAACTTAATCCCTCACCATCTCCCCGTCTCATACACTTTCCTACCCAAGGTGTCTTATATCCTTCATGCCCGTCGGCCTGACCCTTGGACCTCCTCCCTCGCCCCATGCCATCCGCTACTATTGTTTCTAAGGAAAAGCTACAAACTGGCAAATAATGAAATACCGACATTTAAAAAAAAAAAATCAAATATACTTAAATCGAGACATACATACATAATTTCACACAAAATATACGTATTATTTCTGTGCTAGGATGCGGATTCTGCAGAAAATTAGATCTCATGCTTTTTGTCTACAAAATATATTTCAAATTATGGAATCAAAATGGCTACTGTCCGGCAAACAAAGACACAAGGTTAGTTGCGCATCCTTTACAGGAGGTTGCAGAACCAACCCCAGCAGCCAGCCCCTGGCTGTTGTGTGGTTTCTCTAGACACATTTACGTCTAGTAGTTTGCCACTGCTTTCTGGACAGTCGCCCCATCTCATACCACTGTCAAAACCAAAGCAAGGCGCATGGCCCGCAGCTTGGATCGAACCCGGCACTACGAAGCATTCTTATAGACTTGGCCACAGAGCCGAATATCAAAGACACAACAAATTGGAATATCTGAAGTTGAGATAATTTAAAAAAAAAACATTTATCATTACAGTTGTTTCAACCACACAAAGATATTTTCATCAGCAGTTCTTCCAAATAAATCTTAGTCTTAGTCCAGGTTTCATCTTCACAGCAATCGGGTTTCCCCATACCTGCTCCGTCCCTGTGTCAGTGCAAATCTAATGAGATATCCCTCGCTGTCCCATGTGAAAAACTGGTGAACAAACAAACAGTCCCGACACAATCCAGAAATATGTGCATGTAGTAAATGCATATGACAGTTGCTAGAGACGCCAAAGCCAACAGTAACCACCAGAAATGCAGCTGTCGTCGTTCAACTCAAAAAACATCACCTTTAATGTATTATTGTTTTATTTTAAAACATTTATTTTTGCCTGTGGCAACATGCGGATGTTTCACAAGTTTGAAGCAAAACTTTTTGGGAAAATGTGTGCAAAAATGTGAAGAATAAAATCATCCTGCGAAACCTACAGTAGAAAACTGGCTCAACAACAGCAGAACAGAGTAATCAATAAACAGCAACAGAGTGAAGCACAAAGTGGAACACATTCTCAGAGGTGTAAAAAATTGTCTGCAGCTTCATAAACCATGACAACTAACAATGTTGCAACCGTACAATTATGATGTCAGCATGCCCCTCGAATAGCTATTTGGTACACACAAACACCCCTTCAAATGCTTTCTTTAGTCATAGTCTGACATTCTGAACCCTGTGCAGACGTGAACAAAGCCAACAGCATTAACTGGATGTGCTGTAAACACATTACAACGTAAATGTCAATTAAGGATACTTGCTCGGAACTGGACTAAACTGGAAGTGGTTTAGAAAGAATATTCGATGACCGGATCCTTGGAAGATAAGCCTGTAGCCAACTAAAAATATGGCGGGTACAAGACTTGAAAAATATCATGAGACTGCAAAGAATGAAACAGTTTAACAGTGCAGTAACAATTCAAAATGAAAGTAAGGCTCTACAGTGGATATGCTATGTAACACTGCATGACTATCATTATTACCATTGAATATTTATGTAAAATACAGAGAGAAAAAAACAGATTCATGTCAGTACAACCAAAATATATTCAATGATCTTATATTTACCTCAGCATCATCTTTCCATAAATCTAAGGAAGGTGCATTTGGATCGTTAGCCAACTTCATTTTACGAATCTCTCCCCGGGGCTTCATCCATCCCATTTTGAGAGCGTGCAACATCTGACCAACCTGCACATGAATTATGACATGTCTACGTTATGCTTTTTTATGTCAATGATTACTTTAATTAGACACCCATAATTTGAACAGGCACACGGACAATCGCCTGCAGACTGGAAGGCCAGGAGTTCAAATCAGCACTGAATCTGGGTTTTTTTCATTAAAAGACTCTGGCTCTCAGGTCGTCACAGCCTAAAACAGGTACCAGGTAAAGTCCCGAGAAAAAAAGGCGGTCGATGTGACGCTGACCATGTCACCCACAGAGAAGTGCTGACTTGTCTACAAAAATATCAGCCTGGCACTATTTACACAACAGACCTCCTGGCATAGAAAAGTGCACATTACTTTACCCACATTTTAAAATCAGCTAATCGCGCAACATTGCATTTGATATTAATTATTTAATAAACAGACACAAAATGATTAAAATGACTTCAAAGGGGAAAAATGAGGATCAAATGTCTTCAGATGAGGATAAAAATACAATGTATCACAAAACATTAGAAACACACATTCATGATTGTTTAGCCACTAATGAAGAAAAACGAACATTTGACAAATAGACAGAAAGAAAATGAGAGAAGATTCTTGACAGAGTTTTGTCCCGACATGAGCGGGTGTTAACATTTGAACTAATACTTGCAGTTAGATATATAGCCACTCCAGCCCGACTATGTTAGATATCTCTCGTTGTGAAAAGATACGGTCTCATCTGTTGCACCTCTCTCTGTTTTAGGTCTCATCTGTTAGGTCTCATCTGTTGCTCCTTGAGCCTCAAACCAAGATTATTAATTGTGCTCTTAAAGGGTCTCTTTAAGCTACAACTGAATTCCATTCCGACAGGTGATGAGTTGAACTAGGCATAAGTCAAATTTATATTTTATAAATTTATCACACTAATTTCACCATAACCGGTTGTAAAAAATTGTATTTAAAAAAACAACACAAAAATTGAAATTATGTATGTACAATTATTGTACACAACTTGAAAACTTCATAATTTGTACTCTAGTTAGTTAGTTAGTTAGTTAGTTGGGTTATCCTCATTGCACTCCGGACATGTCCATAGGTGCTCAGATCCTCCCCTCAGTATGAACCCCAACGTCCGATGGCTAATAGTACCAGTTCTATGCTGATTAACAAGTCTTCTGGCGTAGCTGGTGTGCGTCTCGTTTTTTGCTGTGCCGATCTTAATTCCCAAGTCTGCCATTCTGGCGAGTGATGTGGATTCACTGCCACCAAAGTCGTCTATCCTTCCCATTTCTCTGAGGGCATTGATAATATCAGCATGATCCATAGGCTGACCGTCGGTAGTGATAGCGGATCCAGCCAACCTGTCAGCTCTTTTATTTCCATCGACGCCTGCGTGTCCCCGAACAAAAATAAAGGTGACTCCACGGACAGTGGACTTCTGTAATGATTCAAGCCATTGCCTTCGCACTGAACCTGCCTGAACCCTCCGGATCATACTCATTGAATCACTGAGTATACACACGCGGGTGTATTTTTGTGTTTCAAGCCAGGCAAGCGCTTGTGTCACTGCCATCACCTCCATCGTCATGCTACTGGTTGTCATGGAGAAGGCGCCGTTGGCTTCTTTGACTGTTCTGCCCGCTGAGCGTGCTGTAAATGCCCATGCGCTTCTTCTTTGGCGTATAACGGATCCGTCTGTATAGATTATTGCATCTGCTTCGTCTGAATTTTCACCGATGAGAGCGTTGACCTCTGCATTAACAGCAACAGGATTCTCTTCTCTACATCGCCTGTTGAGTGTGGCAATACAGGAAAATGTACAAATAAACGCCTGAGGCACAGGTATCCATTCTGCACCAGGTATGATGTCGGTTAGGCTGCATATTTGCCTAATAACATCTTCTGCCCGACCTAGCCACGATTTCCCCCTCTTCAGTCTGTCGCCCTTTTAACTAAAAAGCGCTTGATGCAGTGGGTGTTTCTTATCAGCACATATTTTGAGATATGCCCGAGCCCTCCACATCCTGATCCTTTGGTTCATTGTTGGAAAGTCAAGTAGATACCTCATTGCTCCACAGGATGTGTCTCTAGTACATCCCAAAATAATGCGCATGGCTTCATTTTGCACCTTTTCGAGTCGTTCAATCTGGGTGGCACTGACAGTGAGGATGGCCAGAGCGTATTCAATGGGGGAAAGGACCAGACCGTAGAATAGAAGTATTAGTAGTCTTTGCTCAATGTTGGAAGCAGCCATAATCCTCATTGCAGATAGACCTTTGCGTGCTTTTGTTATCACATGGTCAACGTGTTCCCTGAATGACAAGCTGCGATCGAACCTCACCCCGAGAAACGTCATAACGTTGGTTCTGATCAATACATTATCACGCATTTTCACTTCTGGTAAGTCCGACTTGACAATGTGATTGTTCAAAGAGAACCATGACACTGATGCCTTCAAAGGATTGACATAGGCATTGGAACCATCACACCAGGCGGCAATTCGATCGAGTTCTTTGTGCATAGTGCTGGCGATCTCCTGTCTATCACGCCCTCGTCGATAAATCAAAATGTCATCAGCAAATGACAAAGTCCTCCCCTTTCCAGTCAACTGCTGCTCAGTGATCATCACCGTATAAACGTTGAATAAGACTGGTGATAACGGTGATCCCTGTGGCAAGCCTGGACATATCGTTTGCGGTTCTGAGGACCAGCTACCACATCTTAGTACAATCTTTCTCTGGAACAGGACCGCAGCAATCCAGCGGATCAGAATAGGATTAACTTCTAGTTTAAGCAGTAATTGCATTAAATAATCGTATGGTACTTTATTGTAGGCATCTTCTAAGTCCAACACTGCCGCACATGTCTCTTCTTTAATCTGAAATCCCTCGTACACATCGTAGGCGAAAACTGCAGCATTGAACCATGTCTCTTTATTTAACCTGTACCCTCCAAGTGTTGGTGGGAACTTATCATGTAGTTAATTTGTACTCTATTCCATCAGATCTGGGAACTTTTTGACCCTACCAAAGCAGTAACCTTTCTTTTTTTTTTAATTTACTGTGGTTGTAAGTCGCATGGGCCATAAGTAAAGGAGGCATGCTTGGATGTGTATCATGATCCACTGGATGCTTAAGCTTGGATCAGTGTGTATCATGATCCACTGGATGCTTAAGCTTGGATCAGTGTGTATCATGATCCACTGGATGCTTAAAACTCTCCCAGCGCTCTTCCTCATCTGTTATACTCATGAAACTAACTCAATACAACTCGGATGTGTTGACAGTTTGGTCATTTTCACAAATGGCAGTCAATTGAAACAGAAGACATGCAAAAATGCTGTGCCATCTCCACAAAGAAGGTTGGCTACAGCGTGCCACGGTTGTCCCTCCTACGAATACTACACGGTGAGACCCCAATCTCTCCCAATGAAGGTCTCTCTTTTTTTTCTAAATTCTCTGCTATCACTGACGTGGAAAATCTAACATGCAATATAGAAACATTCGACCTTTAACATATATTTCATCAATACACCTCTACGACCCTAATGGGCCAAGGGTTGTGTTATATAATATATTATCAAAACTTACCCGCTGCTTTTCCCACTTTGATGGGATAAAACTACGCTTGTCCGGAGGCCTGCCCGTTACTGGCATTTGCATAACTTCATTTGTAAAAAAGTCAACCCACGGCTGGAAAAGGAAAACAATTAAAAGTTAAATTTATGGACTAGTAAAGAATGTTAAGTGTTAAAATACAAATGAAATACTGCTCACTGATGTGTATGCACTGATATCTGTGAACTTGCTTCACAATGCCGATATGCCTGATTCTATACCAGCTGAAGCCAGTTGGCAGGAGCAGGTCTTGCCTTGCTTGTGATAGTGGTGCAGGCAGCTGACTGTACAGAAGCAATGGCAAACTATTACACTATAACAGCCAAAAAATGCTCAAGTTGTTTCTGTAACATCCTGGAAAGGATACTCTAACTAATCATATGCAGGTTCTATCAATGTTATATAACAAACAGCATCACTTTAAGCGAAATATCATATATACATGATGAAATATGCATCACAGACAAATGCTATGAAATGGGCATTGATCAAATGTAAACAGATGTAATACATATGAGATGAAATTATATATATATATATATATATCCTGTTGTGTCATGTGTCAAATTAAAGTTGCAGTTTTTTCGCCCACTCCCTGCTGTGCAACTGTTTCAATATCATATATGGAAACTAGTCCGGCACTATTGGCCTCTCATCAACATGTGTCTTAAACCTCAGTCCTTCAAACTATTTGTTTATCACTGCAGTGCCTGCCTGGAGTCTCTGCTTTCCCCAGGACTAGCCCCATATCATCATCATCTCTGTCATATAATTGTTGATACCAGTGATATACATATACTACTTTTTAAAAAAATGCACAGACAATAAAAGAAACATAATTATGACATTCAATATGTTTGTAATTTAATTAGTGAAACTTCAAATTGCACACAAGAATATCTAGAGGTTAACCAATCAATTAAGAGTTCTCTTGCATCTAGGTCATTGATAGTTTTTAAGCATACAGGCTTTCTCATCAACAACAACAAATCCAAAGCATAAGAAAACTATGAGTATATATGACAAACGAATGATATCTACAGAATACAGACACATTATATCTTTGACAGACAAATACGTACAGCATATAAATCTTCTTTCCCCGCCGGGTGTGTGCCAGATTGGATTCGCTGGATCATCTTGACATCTTCATCACTTAAAAGTACTTTCTGACCAGTGAGTTTGTTTTTCACAGTACGCCTGTTCAAAGAAAAATATTGAGTTAACACACATGCATAGTCCTGCAACAACTTGGATACACAAATGGAGGAGCTGGCATCATGGGGGAAAGCGTGGAAGCAAATATTTGTAAAAGTCTGTAACAATTGATTACTCACTTTAAATATTTCTGTGTTTCAAAAGCAAATTTTAAAAAAAATCTAGATACATTTTTCAACAATTTATCAGTTACCTATATGGAAAAAATATAGGGGTGGGGGGTGGACAGAATTATGGCTAATTAATTAGCACTTCTCGAGGTGAAGGTGTTACGATCTGACCAAGTGTAGATGACTCAGCTACAGCAAAAGCTGAGGATTCGGCAATAACATGCAAACATTCACAGGCTTTGTCTGGGCAAGAAGTAAATGAACACAAGTATTAACCTACCAGTAATTTGGGTCATCCACTTTCTCCAAAAACTCATCCAGCGCATCTCCTTGGTTGGGTCGGATCAGTTTTCTGCCCTCAATATCGTACCCAATGTGGGGGAAATCATCATACCACTCAATAGGGATGTTTCCTATGGTATTCCGCACATCCTGTTATAAATATGGCAATGTATATCAGGTAAACATATTTAAGCAGTAAGGTAGACACAAATCCCCAAAAAAGGAGACTTAACAGACTGCAATAATTGAAGGGAAATTACTCTACTCTCAGTACCAAGCAAAATATTTTGTAAAATCATCATAATGCAGCTTGAAAAAGGAGTAGATAAATGCCTACGAGCGGAACAAGCAGGATTCAGAAAGGGCAGAGGAACAACTGAGTACATCTTCGCCATACGTAACATTTTAGAACAATGCAACGAATGGCAGAGAAGTATATAAATTAATTTTGTGGACTTTGAGAAAGCTTTTGACAGCATCCATAGAGACGGTCTGTGGAAAATTTTACGACATTATGGAATTCCAGAAAAAATAGTCAACATAGTTGCTCTCTTCTATAAAGACTTTTCCTGCAGTATAAAAAATTACAATACATCTTTCCCAGTAAAGACGGGTGTAAGACAGGGATGTGTTATGTCATCTCTCCTCTTCAACCTTGTGATTAATTGGATACTAAAGAACACAGTAGACAGGACATTAAGAGGCATGCGATGGACTCCATTCACCATGCTTGAGAACCTTGATTTTGCAGATGATATAGCACTCCTATCACATAAACATGAACATATACAAGAGAAAAGTAACAGTCTAAACTGCACAGCAGAAATGGTGGGACTGAGAATAAATACAAAGAAAACTAAGATCATGACAAACGGTCCAAACCAACAACCAGTGACCATAAATAACCAATCACTTGAAAATGTAGAACATATCACATATCTTGGCAGTGTGGTGTCCCTACTGGGGGGGGGGGGGGGGGGGACAGAGGAAGACATACAGTCACATCTGAACAAAGCTAGAGCTGCTTTTGGAAGGATGAGGCAAATCGGGAAATCCAACAATTACTGCAGAGGAACGAAACTCCGACGCATCATTCTGCCAGTTCTTCTTTATGGAGGGGAATGCTGGAGAATGACCAAAAAGGATGCACACAAGCTGTCCACCATTTACCACACATGTCTACGTAGAATTATCAAAATTCTCTGGCCAGATACAATCTCAAACACTAAACTACTTCAAGTCACAAACCAAGAAACTTTAGACAGTATGATTACCAAGAGAAGATGAAAATGGCTTGGCCACGTTATGAGAATGACTTCTGAAATACCTGCCAAAACTGCTCTCACATGGACACCAGAGGGAAAGAGAAAACAGGGGCGCCCAAAAACAACATGGAGACGAACGATGAAAAGTGACCTGAGTGCGGCATCTTTGACATGGAAAACTGCACTGAAGATTGCACAGGACAGGAAAGCATGGAAAGTCCTCTCTGAAGCCTCATGTGCCACTAGGCATAATGAGAACTGATGAAGGTAGACACAGAAATGGGGGAGCTAAATTGAAAAAGAATACAAAAGCGCTCCCAGCACTGTGAAATATGTGGAAGTCAAAGAACATTAAAAACAGTACTAAACTGAATTAATTGGTGAATTTAACAAACAGTATGATCGAATCAATATTACGGAACTATGGCAGAGAATGAGAACTTTTTCTGGCAGTACGAAGTACCTGTTTCTAATAGGGGAAAGGGGGGTGGGCACCATTCTTTGACTAGCAGGTTAGTGCAGATCTTTAAACTGCAACCTAGTGCAGATCTAAGACTGTTTCAGTTAATAATGAATAGTTCCTATATACAGAATATATCAACAATACTGAGATTGCCATGAGTCAGGTTGACCATGCACCATGAAAGAAAAACAACAACTATTACTGATCAGATGGGTGTGTGTAGGCACGATGGGCAGGAATATTAGGGTCACCGAGTGTTACAGGTGAGCACAGCTCACAAGAGGACTTGTCAAACGGGTCGACCAACAAACGGCAGTTAATAGTTTGGCAGTCAAGTGGAAGGATGTGTCTGGTTGGTATCCTGGAAATGATAGAACTGATTTCACTTGGCATGGACTTGATCAAAAGCCATGAGGTGAGCTATGAGAGTAAGTTGAGACAAGAATTGATATCACAGCACTCAGGGCATTCTCATACAGGCTCCATCCCCAGCAGCCAGTGAAGAGTTCCAATACTAATAGTGCCAGCCGTAGTCTGGTTGTGTGTCCGTCTTGCCTTTCCTCTGAGTTTAGTGAGCCGGCCAAACCCTCTGGTTACACTCAGATGCATCATTCTCTCCAGCCCATAATAACTGAGTTTCTCTTCTGACTTTGTTACTTGTTCCCAAGGGGCTCTGACCACATCTGCCTTGTCATATATCAATTCACCACCCAGCAGTGCAAATCCTGCCAATATGTCTGCCCGTTCATTCCCCATCACGCTAACATGGCCTCGAGAATAGATCCAAAGTATGCTCACTGCCTGTGACCTTGCAAGTGAAGCTTATTACTCTCCCGAAGCGATAGCTATGAGAATAAATGAGTGGTTAATCCGCACCTGATAACCTTGCATGAAAAGCCAGACTAACTTTGCAATTATTATGAGTACTTCAATAATCATTCTCTGAGAATCGGAAACACAAAAATCAGTGTTTACATGTTAACAAAACTGGGAGACTACTAACAACAACAACAACAATAGTACCTCTGTCATCCTTATTAAAGGTGTCTGACAGGGATATATGTCACTTTCTTTAAATATATTGGCATCTATAAGTGAGAAGAAGCCAAACAGGTGGAAGATAAAAGAACAAGATAAAGAAAAATACAAGATGTAGAAGTGGTGGAAGAGAACGGAACAAGATGAGTAAGAAGTAGAAGAGAGCAGAACAAGATGAGGAAGACAATAAACTGAACATGCCAAATGATAACAATTTAAAGGCTATATTTAAGTATACACAAAAATAATAATAATACTAACTTCTTCATCTGAAGAGTCATATTCGTATTCATTATTCTGACTGAAAAATTCCTGAGTTTCCTCCATTGTTGTTCGTGGTCTGTGGTTGACTGAAAATGTCTTCACTTTCATCCTCATCATCACTGTCTGTTCCATCGTCGTCTTCATTATCTTCATCCTGGCTGCTACTGTCTACTTGATCCTCATCTGGACTGTCGCCGTCTTCTTCATGCTCATTATCTGATACATCGCTGTTTTCAGCATCACTATTACCGGCACTCTTTTCTTTCTGCATCTGGTAAAACAAATAAAAACAAGTAAGAATGACTCAACATATCCTCAAATGTAGACATAAAACGTAACAAACACACCATAAAGCTAAATAAATGCAAGGACTTTAGCGACCCAAAAATTCATAGAAAACCATCTAACGTTAAAATACAACCAATATCAAAATTATAACCAAAGATAAAGAATAATAGAAGAATATAAATAGGTGTTGCTTTTTTTTCTTTTTCGTCCTTAAAAGGGCAGCCAGCTCATTTTGTGGTTTACAGCTAGGCTGTGATATCTGCAACTTCAACCTAACACGTCAGATTTAAGAAAAACCTTGATTAATCAACATGCATGGCACGACTATAAAAAAGGGCTAACATTTTCAAAACATGTCTCAATGCTTTTTTAAAAAAGGTAAAATATACAGATGAAATATTTTGGCTTTATAAAATATTATACCTAACAATAACTGTCAAACTACATTTTAGTGTATGATAGTAATAACATTTTGACAATCAATCCTTGTTTAATGCTATAAATAGGGATAATGTTAGGGTATGATAGAGTGACAGAACTGGTGAAATCTCTAGTGTGAGAAGCAGGGTTTTGCGGGGAGATGGTGAAAAGACAGGATGGAGCAATTCACGTATGAATGCAAGATCTGGGGGATTGCGAATGAGGTGGTCATTCTGTGACCAGACCCCAGGGTGAAAGGAATTGGAACTGAATCCAAAGTGATAAGTATGAACGTGGATCTGGATGAGGTTCGAGTAACTAAACGACAAGGGGCGAAGCTGTGTTGAATTACTGTTTAGGATAGCAGTGGTGTTCTATGACCTGTTGGTTATGCCGGTCGTGTACATCGTCTGAAGCGTGGCTGGAGACTTAAAACGTGAGCGAAGTGAGCTTGCCCGAATGGCGTAAGTAATTAGTTCTACTGTCGATTCTTATCGCCGGTGTTGTATTGAAAATAAACTCGTGAATAGACCAGTCAAGAGGAAAGAACCCACTTCTTCCATAGGATGTCATCTACTTAATTCCGGACAAAGAATTGACACAGACAGTGCTTTCTGTGTGGTTTATCATACTCTGAACAAGTGACTGTTGAGAATGGCCTAAGCTTTAACAATTAAAATCAACAACTCCCTCCTTTGTAAACTGGAGGAATTTAAAGTAAATTTGGTTATCCTGGTAAGTCACGTGACTATGAGAGCTTACGGCTCACTATTCACATTTCAGTTTGATTTATTCAGTTTTGTGATTTATTTTTATGTTAATGTAACTCTGTAGTTATGCATCTGGAATCTGATGAGATACAGCGAAATATGCCTGGCAATAAATTGTGGAATGGTCTATCCCTCAAATAACGGGCACAAAAGATGGCAGCCGCAAAAACATCAAGTCGTCGGAAGTGCGCAACTGAGGCCCTCTTTTAAGCCGCCGTTTTTTTGTGCCCATAATTTGGAGGATAGCCGTGCAATATATTGTTTGTGTCCGCATTATTTAAATTCATTAATATAATATTAAATTTAAAGTAGTAACAAACCTTCCCTGAAGAAACAGCCAAGCAAGAGACAAAGATAAATCATAAAGACAGCAACAACAAAAGTGGGACGACATCATGAAGAGATGGAACAAGAACAGTGAGAGACCGGCATAAGACATGGTGAAGAGGACAGTACACTACACAACCAAACTATACACATACAGGAGCGAGAATCTCATCGGAAAGAAAAAAAAAACAACCGCAGATTGAGTATTGAGATTGATCATTGGACCGTCGTGCTTGGGCCAAACTTATGACTGAAGTAAGAAACGCAAATATTATGACCATGTATTTTGAAGAAATCGTGATTAAATGGTTGTTTCTACAGTTTAAACTAGGTAGACTATCCGTATTACTCTTATTCCACGTGTGTGGTATTGTCAACAAACCTTGAAACATGCTGTGCGAGCCGCCATGTTTTGTATATAGCCGCAAAAAGTTGTGATAATCGGTTACTTCCGTCAAAAACTTATCCATTAGTTTCAACTTCTGAAACTACAGGTCAAACTTTCTAAAACTTCTCTCTTTTCCTCTCTCTGTCTCTGTCTGTCTGCCTGTCTCTCTCTCTCTCTCTCTCTCTCTCTCTCTCTCTCTCTCTCTCTCTCTCTCTCTCTCTCTGTCTCTCTCTCTCTCTCTCTGCATTGCATTTAAGTCTGTTGACAATAATCGCCCCTAGAAAATATATAAGGGTTTGAGCACGACCGGCTCCAGGTGGAACCGGTGGTTGTTTGAGGCCCTATCCCACAATATTTTCTTTATGTTAGGACGATCATCAGACTTCACCCACACAGTACTTCAAGTTACGCCAGGCTGGTGTATGTGTCACGGGTGCCCTAACTATAACTTCTTTAGACGTTGAACTGGGTATCTGCGATCTGCCTTGCTGTTCTCCCCACCAAACTGAGATGAGTTGAAATCCCCGGATGGAGAAAGGTAAACCTTTTCGATTGCAGCCCGGTATGGGGGAAACTGATCCATCGATTGTCCCTGGACGAGACGAGCAATGACCTTATCCGGGATTCAGGTGATCGTGTGAGAGGATCAAACTTGATACTCTATGCTTATCAAATTGGCGCCATAGGATGATGATAATTCTACAAGAAAATAATGCTTCTTGAACACATCTCTTGGAAATGAGGAAACAGTACCATTCACACCCAGATATACAAACGAGGAACAGCCTACAATAATCGAACAAGAAGTCAGAGAAGCAATCAGATGCAGTCCCAAAAATAAGGCATCAGGTGTTGATGGAATATCAGCCGAGGCAATACAGGCTTGTGGAGAAATTGGAGTCACCTGGCTACTCCACATTTAGGAAAGCCTGGAATGAAAGAACTGAGCCCATCACAGGTCGGATTTAGGAAAGGAAGAGGGTGTACTGACGCTATTTTTGCTTTAAGACAAGTTAGCAAAAAGACTATAGAACACAGACATCAAATGAACATCGCTTTCATAGATCAAGAAAAAACCTTATTATGAAAAGTTCTTGAAAACTACGGTATAAATGGAACAATTTTAGATTGTGTTAGGGCTATTTATAGACAAAGTGAAAGCGCCATTAGAACAAGAGCTGGCATCACAGACTGGTTCCCAGTAACATCAGGAGTAAGACAAAGTTGTGTATTATCACCTTTATTTTTCATAATATTTATGGACAATATAAATAAAATAGACATAACACCAACAGATGTCGATAAACAGGAGGACTTCAATGAGCTGCTCTTTGCCGACGATCAATGCCTATTTCACAGTGATAGTAAACAGCTGCAAGACCACATAAACCTACTACACGACAGTTGCCTCAAGCATCATATGAAGATCAATACTGAAAAGACAGAAGTCATGAGCATAAGTAGAGAGCAACAGACCATCGACATAAAGATTCTAGATCACAGCCTAAAACAAGTGCAAGAATTTAAATACTTGGGAAGTATCTTTACATTCAATGGTAAAATAGACAGAGAGATCGAAGCAAGAATCCAACAAGCCAACAATGTCGCATACCAGCTTGCCCCAATTTAAAAACACCATGCTGTCCCAGCTGAGATAAAAAGACAAATTATAAATACAATCTTTATACCGACATTAGGTTATCAATGTCAGACTTGGACATTAACAGAAGAACACGAGAGAAGACTAACCACCTGTGAAATGAGGTGTTTGAGAATGGCTGCGAATAAAACCAGAAGAGATCGAGTGAGAAACGATGTGATTACAAGAACTATTGGAACCATACCCATCGTTAAATTTATTGAGAAGCAAAGAATGAAATGGTTTGGTCACCTAATGAGAATGGAACCAACGATGCCAACATCAAGAGCATACAACATGAAAATCAAAACACCAAGAGGCAGGGGAAGACCAAGAGAAATATGGAATGAAGGAGTCACGGACAACTTGAGACTTCATAACATCACGGCATATGAAGCGACTGAGCGCGCCCTGGCTCGGTTGCCGATCATCTGATAGACTGCGACGCCTAGCGGCACAAGCAGATTTTGACAAAAGAAGAAGAAGAACACATCTTAAATCTGTTGGTATGGGTATACCCAAGTATGGAGTACTTTCTGTTCCGCTTTGACCTTGTTTAATTAGTCTTTTGTGTTTGTCCGTTGACAAAGACTGTTTATAACATTTGACTGAATTTGTGCATGTCCCCCCCTCCCTTTTTTTTTCTCTTTGTATCCACACACATAATGTTCCTAAGTTTTTTTGTTTTTGTTTTTTTGTTCATCCACCTTAGTACTTTAGTCTTTTTTCAGAAGCTGACTGTTGCATGTATATCCGTTTTACACATCTGGCTATTTTGTATGCAGACTGTGGGTTCCTTGCCCCTCAGGCAGATGCACTCAGAATTCAAAAGATGTCCCCAATTTGTCTACTCTTACGACATGCTTGTTGGCGAGGCAGTGAGTCCGTTTTTGTTTTTCCCAGAATGGGCCCCACCTACACGGGAATGCATCAGTGAATGCATGAATCAAGAGTTTACATCCATGCAATCGAGAAATTCCCAGTTCCTACATCTGCCCCATTTCCACCCTCAACAGCCAACGAAGAGTTGACATGCTAATAGTAGACTTGTAGACTGATGAAAAGTGCGCCTATGCCTTCCCATCAGTATCGAATATCGTCCAGAACCTCTGCTCACCCCGCTAGTCTTTCAGGGTATCGATACTCTCTCTGTTGTGCTGCACTGTTAGCTTGACCCCGGAGAGCTTTTACCTCTTCTGCTATATAATATAGCTCATCACCCAGAGGAGCGACAGCAACCAATCACAGCGAATCTATCAGCTTGCTCATTACCCCACACACCCGAATATCCTGGACAGAATACCCTCGATATGCTTCTGAT